AGTGTGGCAGGGCCTCAAGGCCTCCAGCAGGTGGCCTCCAGACCTAGTCCACCCCATCACACAAGGCCACACAGAACCAGCAATAGTATTGATTTACACTCTGATGCCTGCAGTGTCTGGTGCTGAACTCTGTGGCTAACTGAAAGTTCTGCAGCTGCACAAAACGGGCAAGCTTTCTAAACCACTGAATTAGACTTCAATGTCTAACACGCATGGCGGTCTGCTGTACTATTTCCTATGTTAATATTTAATTCAGTGCCATGTCCAGCTGGTAATACTAAGCCACTTCTTTCATTTCATCACTGAGAGTTCAGTGTGTGGCAGAAGTCGGGGTTGCAGCACTTAGGGAAGGGTTTATGTAGCCACTAGGAGGAAGCTGTCTTCCTACCAGAGAGTTTGGCAGCTTGAATGGTCAAGGCTGTTGTCCATAGGGGAGGGGCTGTCAATGAGAAAGGAGCCTCTCCTCTCCTCCCCACTGGCTATGGAGGACAGCAGTGATGTGTTGGCTCCTAGCCACTCATTCTCTCCCTCCGGTGGGGTAGGAGTCCCTGTGGGTCTTTCTCCCCAGAGCTTCCCCCATCCTCTGCTGTGACTTCCTAACTCCTCCCACAGGTCAGTTGTCTCAAAATGCGACTGAATGAGGAGCAATGGTGAGGTCAGCACTCTGCACCCACTGCCAATGCCTTAGCTCGCTCTGGCAGAGCTGGGGGGAGGGAAAATGGGTCCTGTGAGCTCAGGCGGACCACTGACCAACAAGCTTCCTATAATCTGCCCAGCAGAGAGAGGACATAACATTGCAGGGCAAGGAAAAAACTTTCTGTAGATCCCTATGCAGGCTGGAGCACTCACAGGGAAAAAATGGTGGGTGCTGAGCACCCACGGGCAGCCAGCTCCCCCCTCCATGCCTCCCACCCATGGATCAGTGACTCAATCAGCTGTTTCGTGGCATGCAGGAGGCTGGGAGGGAGGACGAGGTGCTCTCAGGGAAGGGTGTGGAACTGAGAGGGAAGAAATGGGGTGGGGGCAGGGATGGGCCCTTGGAGGGAGTGGGGGAGGGGCAGGGGCAGAGCCGGGGTCAAACACCCTCCAGCACTTTGGAAAGTCAGCACCTGTGCTCAAAACTGCAGAAAAGAGTAGGACAGGTGGAAGATCTGGGTGCAGCAGAAGCCAGGGAAGAACATCCCTTGCCCCTCTGTGACGGGGGTGTACTTGCCCCACACTGGAGACAAAGGGGATAAACCCACACTCTGGGGGGAGGAAGCCACACCCCCTCGCTCCTGCCGGGCATGCTCCAACTGGAGCAGCATTGTAAAAGGGAGTAGCCCAGCTCAGTCTGGGCTGACCACTGAGGTGGGAGGAGGCACGTTGCAGATGCCTATCTGAGAGCTGCTGGAGCCCAAGCCTGCCAGGGTCTGGACAGACACTCGGCTACTGGTGGACACCCAAGGGACATTGGAACTGCTGGGAGCTTCACAGGCCGTAGCCCCAGGAGACTACGCCACTGGAAGACATGGTAGGAAGTAGCCCGGGAGACTATACATGGATCCAGTTGGAGGACTGGGAACTAAGTCAGTGTGTTTTGGTCGGATCCCTGCTGACCCAGAAGTGAGTTCACTCACTGCTGACAGGGCCCTGGGCTGGGACCTGGTGGAGTAGCGAGGGCCTGTGTCCCCCTACCCTGGCCACTCTCCCCCCCACCAGGTGGTGGCCCATCCCCTCACTGGCCATCAGGCTGCATCACCCTATGAGAGAGGGCAGCCATATGGACTCTGGCAGTTGAGCCACACAGCCCTGTAAGGGAGGGCAACTGTATTGATTCTGGCCACTAGGCCAACTGCCCTGAGGCTAAGGGTGGTCAGGTGGACTCGGCCATGGGGTTTCAACGCCCTTTTCCCCACCCTAAAGGGGGACAGGGTGTACTTGCCCCATGACACCCTCCTGCTGCCAAAAACTCACATGAAGCGGATTCCAGCTCATGGACGCCAGACAGCCAAGACTCCTACCCCTTCTGCTTTAAAGAGCTCAATTTTCAGAGGACAGGTAACTGCCCTTTCTGAAAATCCAGCACCTTTAAGGCAACCCAAGTCAGGGGCCCAGAATTGCTGATCATTGGAATATCTTGGCCTGGGGCTCCTGGTGCTCCTTGACACCATGTTCTAAAGCTGCCCATGCTGATGCTATCAGTTCCACAATGAATATCTTTTAAAATGAGACTTTAATCAACTAAATTTTCATCCTGAGCGCTGGATCTCAGCCTGGGGAGTTCAGTGAAATGGGTCATTTCCTGCTCCTCCTTCCTGATTTTATGCTATGAAGAGGAAAAGACACCATAAGACTTTTTAAAACCAGGTGAATCTCCCTTTAGCGTGTCATTATCCAGAAACCCTTTGTCCAGTTCACCTCAATGTGCGCAATTGTTTTTTGCGTCAGTCTACTAATTCTGAGGCCAATTTGACGTTGTGATTTTTAAGAGAATGGGGGAAAAAAGAGTCAGACTCTGGCTCATAATAGAAATCCAACTGCAACCTTAACTGTGCAATGCCTGCTGTCACTCCACTATGAGTCTCACATACTTATTAGTGTTATTTAATGCAGGGAATCCCCTTTTAAAGTCCACTGTAAAAATAGTAAAAAGTAAAACCTACTGGTCAGATAAATGTAAGGAGGCAGTTCAGACTAATGGCTAGAGAATAAAGCATGTTCAATAAGGCCAGAAAGTGAAACTGAATATGTGACTATGTGCAAATAGATAAACAATTTAAAGGTCTCTGATTCATAAGTTAAAGCCAGTTCTGGGGTCACAACCCCCTCTAATTAAAAACAAAAATCACAAAAGTCCTACTGAAATGTGCTTTATACCGGCACCAGCCATTTCAGAACTTGCGATTGTAGTACTTTCAAAGTCGATTTTATTATTTACAACAGCAAAGCTGTTCCACCCCACATTTAAAATATATTCTGACTCTCACAAGACTTGTCAGAGACAGCTGCCAACCCCCACATTCCAGCCAAAAATAATAACAGAACAGAGCTGTTTGGAGGAGACTTAATCTAATCTTCATTGCTTCAGTTTTAAAATATCCTGCTTGGTTTAGGGTTTCTTGTTACATGGAGGGATGTGTTTTTAGTGAGATAGATCTTAGCTGAAAGGCCCTTCATAGATGCTTCATGTAACTAGAAACCATGGAAGGCCAACTCTGCTGCAACCTAAACAAAAGCCTCCAGGAGACATAGCTTTAAGCAAACTGCACTGAAGTTGAACTTTTACAACCGTTGGTGTTAATGCCACTGGGGTTTTGTTTAATTTAAACGCTGCACCAAACCTGGATCTCAGCTACTCCAGAGTCTCTCTGGTATAATCTAAAATGTTTTTTAAAAACTCTAGTTACTCTGGATTTGCCCTGGTGGAAGGGGGACCAGCCTCTGGCTGAAGCCGGCGTTTTCTAGGCCTTCAGCTAGATAACCTAATGCAATGACACACTCAGTAAGAAAGGACTCTCAGTCCTCCGCATGAAACAAAACACAAGGGGATAAAGAAAGCAAAATGCAGAGGGCTCCTCTGCACCGCTTGTGAAAACTCAAGATTGAATAAGATCTGAAGTGAGACTTCAGAGACAGCACCAAAGCAGTAAATCCAGTTCTTCCAGAGATTTCCACAAATGCCTCCCATTCACACTTGCTAACACAGGCTTGCAAGCGAAAGGGCAAGATTTTGAATATTGCATCATTATAATATTCTAGGTCAGTTCAACTGGTATGTAACATACCGAATAAGCCCCATGATCAACACAGTTGTGAATCCAGGACTAGCACCTAAACCAACCATCATTCCTAATTACCTGCCAAGGGCCCTGTGTGCACAGAATCGTCAAATCGATTTTAAAAGGTTCATTTCAAAACAGAATCCAGAGAGTCTGGCGCTGAGGTCCTTAGCCCAGCACTGCCGGAACAATGGGAACAAGGCGCCAGCAGGCAAACAAAGAGTTGTCCTGTAGCCTGTCCCCCGCCCGTCTCACACTCGCACTCTCTCCGGTACACAAGGTGACATATTTTGACAACTTTGCTCTCAGCAAAGCACGGCAGCCCCTCACACGATTCAATCTGCAGGAAGATAACGAAAAGCGCTTGAGCAAACCAGGCAAAGGGCAAGTCTATCAGTGGGTTTGATTTTGTGGACTTTCCATATTCCTTTTCCTGTCTTCCTCCAGTCACTCTTCCTTCTTCCTGGAACCTGCTCTGCATTTCATTTAATCCACACACTTTCCTTCCTGTCCCAGGCACATCCCTTCTGGCTCTGAACCTCCAGCAACTGCATCGCTCACTTATACATATCTCAGCAGCCCCGTGCATCACAGCGTGGAAAAGAAACTGCTACTGCACTGCTGCTCGGCCTCTTTCGCTTGAGAGAAAGCCCGAGAGTGTCATTCAAAAACCCAGGGTAGGCTGAAATATGGGGGAGACAAAGCTTCTGAGAAGCAGAAAGCTGTTTTGAAAAGGCAAAGGTGTGTTTAGTAGAAGGACACTTGATCCCATCTATTCTCGCCTTAGCCCTGTTTGAGGAAGATTCTTCTTCTCGGGGGGCAAGTGGGGCAATTTGCCCCAGACCCCGCAGGGGCCCCCATGAGAATATAGTATTCTATAATATTGCAACTTTTTTTTATGGAAGGGGCCCCCAAAACTGCTTTGCCCCAGGCCCCCTGAATCCTCTGGGTGGCCCTGTTCTTCTCAGCCCATACAGATTAGTAAAACCGAAGCCATGGTTAAAGTTAATTTATTTTCCCCCATTCACGTTGTTTGTTCACTCTTGGCGTTGCCTAGCCGCACACCACAACTGAACTGCCCTCTCTCCCCTTTGGCCCTAAGCACTTTCAAACCCAACACGCAGGCTCCAGCGCGCATTAGCCCGAACGGGCACAGCACCAGTGCCAAAGCCGGCCCAGTCCCACCCACTCCTGACGGCCGCGGAAGTTATCTAGGCAGAACTTCATGCCTGTCGGATCTGCTACTCCCAGGACAGAGGTTCTCCCGATCCCATCACTGGCTTGCACCTGGTGTGCTGGGACAGTCATTGCCGCCGAACTTCCCCGCAAGTGGGTCAGTTACAGCCAAACACCGCGTGGGCAGGCTTCGCACTCACCGGGGAACCGCGGCTGGGGTGGGTGCGACAGGCGGGCAAGGCACGCGCAGGGCAGCAGCCGCTCCTGTGCCAGGGGACGGGCAAATCCTTGCAGCCGAGCGCTCTGGCAGCTACGGTACAAAGAGCGAGACTACGAATATCCCCCTGACTGGCGCGTTTCTGGGGGAGCCGGGACGGGGAGCGGACACTAGGCCGAGCTTTGCCCTCGCTCACCCGGGAGAAGGTGATCGGGCCCCTCGGACGCTCGCACTAACGTGGCTGCTGCCCCGGGAATAGTGATTTCACTCACCCAAGCCAGACACCGGCCGGGACAAAGCTACCAGCTCCACGCCAGGGGCTCCGAGTCCCTCCCCACCGAGCCGGCGCGGCGCGGCGCGGCGGGCAGAGCGGGGTCCGGGGCAGGCACAGCGGGCTGCTACCGCCGGTCCGCAGCGCGTAGCGCCAGCCTGGGCTCAGCTCGGCACCGCTCGAGCCGAGAGCCCCAAGCCACACGGGCCTGACTGCGAGACGGCGCCCGGCGGAGGTTCCTCCTCTCGCCCACAGAGACCAGCGTGTCCGCAGGGCAGGGTCCGCGCCCCCCGCCTGGGCCGCCGAGCCCCCGGCAGCCCGGCAAGAGGCGCTGCTCCCTGCCTACCCCGCTCACACGGCGCCCCAAGCCCCGCCAGCCCCACGCTCAGGGCTCCGCACAGCGCCCGCCGCCGGGATCGGCCCCGCGGTGCCCGGGGCAGCCCGCAGGAGGCTCGCCAAGGGAGACCATCGCAGTAGAGCTCCCCGGCCAGCCCCTACACGCGGCGCTGCGGCGGCCACCAGCCCGGCTCCCGCGGGCTTTGGCTTGCATCGAGCCCGGAGCAGCCGCCGTGCGGGCGAGTCCGCATCTCCCTGCCCGGCGCGCTGCTGAGCCCCGTCAGTCCCCGAGGAGCGCCGGGCTTGCCGCTGCACTCCGCCCGCCCGGGCTTCGGCCGCAGCGATTATCCTCGGCTCCCGGCCCAGCTCTGGGCAGCCTCGCCCGCTGGAGCCAGGAGCCCGCTGCTGGGGCTGGTCCGGGCAGCACCCGGTCCCCTTCCCTCCGGTGGGTGAGCGGGGCTCCCGGGGGCAGCGGTGCCAGCCCCGGGGCGCGTGTGACTAGGGCAGGAGCGCAGAGCCGCGGGGAGCCGCGACGCGTCAGCCTGGGGCTGCCCAGTCTGCAGCGAGCCGCGACTGAGCCGCCCGGGGAGAACAGCGGGGTCGGCCCAGTTCCTGTCCGGTCCCCGGGCTCTCCCCTCCCGGACCGACCCCTTGGGGGCCGCCGGCGCAGGAGCTCCGGGTCCGCAGCCCATCGCAGTGGGGTATTACTGGGAGCGCAGCGCGGCGGGGCTGCCCCGAAACCCTCCCCTCAGCCCGCTCCCGCAACCCGCACAAACTCCGCACCCCCGGGCCCAGAGCTGCGGCTCCGGGCAGCCCATCCTCCGCTGCCCGGGTTCCCAGGCCAGGGTTCAGAGCTGCGCCTCCCGCAGCCTGCTCTCCGCATGCCTAGCCGGCCCCCATCACCGCCGCTCCGCCAGGCATTGCCCCGCCGCTACTCCCCAGCCTGGCCCGCGAAGGGAGCCGGGCCCCACGGCGCAGCCTGCCCAGCTGCCGGCAGCGAAACCCGGCCCGGAGCTTCCTGCAGCCACGGGGAGGGAGTCAAGTGCAGAAAGAGCCGGTCCTGCCCTATGCCCCTCCGCCAGCGACCGCTCCTGCCGCGCGCCTCACCCGCCCCGCACCCCCTGCCCTTCCAGCCCCCTCCGACCCCGCACCCCCTGCCCTCCACCGACCCCGCACCCCCAGTCCTCTCCGACCCCGCACCCCTTGCCCCTTCAGCCCCCTCCGACCCCGCGCCCCCGGGCCCCTGCCCTCCACCGCTCACCGACCCGCACCCCCTGCCCTTCCCGCACCACCTGCTCCTCCAGCCCCCTCCAATCCCGCACCCCCTGCACTCCACCGCTCACCGACCCCGCACCCCCTGCCCCTCCAGCCCCCTCCGACTCCGCATGCCCTGCCTCTCCAGCCCCCTCCGACCCCGCACCCCCTGCCTCTCCAGCCCCCTCCGACCCCGCACCCCCTGCCCTGCACAGCTCACCTACCCCGCCGCACCCCCTGCCCCTCGAGCCCGGGCCGACCTCGCACCCCCTGCCCCCACCCAGACCGCACCCGCCTTCTGCCCCTGCACAGCACCCGCCAGCCCCACATGCGGGGTTACCCATCACCGTCTGCCCTTTCCCCCCGCCCGTGCCTGCCCTGCAGCGCCGCTGCCCTGCCTCGCAGCGCGGCCGGCTCCCTCGCTAGCATCCCCTGCCCGCAGCCGGGTCCCTGCCCGGCTCTGCCCGCCCCTGGGTGCGCGCTGGCCGCGCTGAATGACAGCTTACCTGCACGCCAATCTTCATCACACTGACACCGGCCGGGCCGCGCAGCCTATACTCACCGCCCGCCGCCGCGCGTCACGGCCCCGCCCGGCCCGGCCCCCGCCCCGCGCCGGCTCCCGCCTGGCTCCCTCTAGCGGGCCGGCCTGGGCCGCCGCTACCGGCGTGCTCCGAGCAGCGCGGCGGCGTCCGTCCCCCGCCCCATCCCGAGCCAGCCCATCGCAGAGACACTGGGCTGAGCCAGGCCAGCCCGGGCCCTCTTGTCCCGGGGCGCTCAGCTCACGCACTCCCCGTACCCGCCAAACAGCGGCCGGGTTGGGAGACCCCCTGGGCTGGGACTGGAAAACGCGTTAGCAGCAGGACAGCGCAGTGCTAGGGGCTCAAGCTCCCCAACCCTTTTGTTTGGTTTCCTATTTACTCCTTTCAAAGGGAATTTTAAAAATCTCATCCCAACCCCTAGATGTGGGTGAGCTGGAACCATGTGTACATTGGGGGTACTGAGAGCCCTGGATATAATGGAAAACCATAGGCCCTGGAACTACGGGTCCTGCACCCCCTGGCTTGAAGTGGTTTCCATCATATCCAGTGGTTACAGTTTGGTTCCATGGCTCTCAGCACCCCCACTATACACATTGTTCCAGGGCCCCGATGGAAACCACTTTAAGCAAGCCTGTGCAGCTGCACCCCTAGTTCCAGCACCTATGTGTAGATGTTGTAAATGCTTCCCCTCCCCCACCCTAGATTTGAGGTTTGACACACCCACCCCCAGTCGCTTTACTGACAGGAAGTGCATTATTTTACACTCTGCTGCGTGCAAAATAATATATTGGAATTGTAAAAGAGAAATCAGTCCATTAAAAACTACAGAAGGGAGATGATAACTTCTCTCTTCTGCCCTTCCTTTAAACAAAATTATTCCAGGATTTGCTCCTCCAAGGAGCAACAAAAATAGATAAACTAGAGAGTTTTATTCACAGGTCAAAAGTGTTAATTTCAGAAGTGTTACTGATTGATTGTGAAGTCTATTAAATAGAGAGAGGCATCTGTGATAGAGTTATTTTTAAAACAATAACAAAACTGACACAAATCCAGTGTAAAGTGATGCAGAGGTTGCACTAGGCATGTTTTTTAATAAATACAAAATCCCCTCACCCCGCACTAGTAGTGCCGACTGAATAATAATATCTATCGCATTATTTATTTGAACGATTTTGCAGCTTTTTAATTAAATTATTTAACACATATTTGTTTCCGACTATTTACCCAGGCCTGGTAAATATCAAAGAAGGAATACTGCTCTTGGTTACAAATGCATGAACTTCTTAGACTTCAGTGTGGATTGCATGTTCGTAGAATTTGACCTCTGTATCTACAGAGGGTATGAGTGCCTTACACTTGGGGTAGTCATTTAAGCTTCTTCTGCAAAGTAGATGTAAAACACTGCCAGCTGCCACCAACAAGGGTCTGTGGAAGATTCTGATTTGGTTTGTTGTTTTGTACAGATAAAAGTGACTGCACAAGATTCCAGGCAAGAAGTCGGGGCTTATGTAGCTTTTTCTATATTTTTATGTGGCATTGAAGGATTGTTAGTATACCTTGAATTTGGACAGACTGCAAAAGATTCTTTTGATTCCACCACCACCACCCCAACTCTTCTTATAAGGTGTAAATGTTTCTTTCAGGATTTTCTATGATATGCCAGTATAGAACCAGAGATTTGAGAACCTCTGAAAAGTAAAGCATTGGGTCCTCTTTTCATTACTGTAAAACTGAACTACTTTGTCTACCTGAGGAATAGTTCTAAATTAAGTCTGGGTGCTATTTTTTTCTAAACCAGCAAAGAAGAAAATGATAAAACCAGCATCCAAAGAAAGGTACAGTATACACAGGGTATGTCTACACTGCAGTTAAACACCCCTTGCTGGCCTGTCAACTGACTCAGGCTTCTGCTATGGGGTTATAAAATTGCAGTGTAGACAGCCTGAATGCAAGCTCTAGGCTTTTCCTCTCACAGCCTCTTCTCCTCACACAAATCCACACTCCTGTATTTTTGTCTGGCTCACCTTAATTGTGGCTTGATCTTTCATTTCTTGTACCCAAAATTCACATTGATTTTAATGGGAGTTTTTCATGTACCGAGCGCAGCCGGAGCCCAGGAGGGGAAGCGCCCGGCCAGGGGCGCAGGGTCTGGAGGTCTGGGGGCTGCCCGGCAAACCGTGAAGCCGGTAGCGCTCGGGCAGCTGTTTCGCATGGCTGGGAGGGAGGAGGAGGAATGCGGGGCGCTCACGGGAGGGGGCGGAGTTGGGCCGGGGAAGGGGCAGAGTTGGGGCGGGGCCAGGGCCCCCTGGAGTGTCCTCTTTTTTAATGTTTAAATATGGTAACCCTAGAAGAGGGGAGCTAATGTCAGGGTGCCCCCCTCCCCCTACTCCTGCCCCCTGCTTATCCCTTCTCCATATAGAGCAGGGTGGGGACAGGACAGGGCTCAGGATGGAGAGAGCTTGCTGGCCACAGCTGCTGTCTCAACTTCCTTTTTAAAGGCAATGTACTTAGAGTGATGTCAGCGTACTTAAAGGGGCAATGCGCATCTCTCTCTCTCTCTCTCCCACACACATAGTGTGTCTCTCTGTCTCTGTCTGCCATGCTGTCTCCCCTCCCTCCATTCATGCTGCCCTGTAGAGTGTGAGGCTACATTAACAACAATGCGTTAACCCTTGAGGGCTCAGCCAAATGCTAGTTCATCATTTAGCAGTAAGGCATTCCCTGGGAAATATCCCACCCTCTTCCACCCTCTAACTTCACCACCTCAACCAAGTTTCACAATCATCATTGCTGTGTACAGTATTAAATTGTTTGTTTACAACTTATATTTTGTGTATATCTATCTATCTTTTTTTGTCTGGTGAAAAAAATTTCCCTGGAACCTAACCCCCCCCCCATTTACATTAA